TACCTCGATAAAGCCTAAATTCAACCATTACCGTTGTTGCTAGCTGAGTAAAATGATGAATAGAACAATAAAACACTCCTTTTCAATGACTATTTCATTATGGTTTCACGCTATAATAACAATTACAATTCAATTGACTGACGCTTTCAACTATAATAAATACTAAATCTCCACAAAACCCATTCTATAATTAATATAATCATATGCTCACTAGTGACTTCGAGAAGTATATCTAGGAGCCCTAGTGAGAAGCAGTGACTAGTGGAGTGCAAACCACGTCTGTTGTGAGATAGGAAATCACTGAAGACAATTGGTGAATGGTTGCTCAACTTCATGGATCAGTTGAAGTTAGACATTAACACCGTTGGATGCCAGCCGGCTCAGTGGTCTATCGGTTAAGGGCTTCGGCTCGAGACTGGTAGGTCCTGGGTTCGAATCTCGCTAAGCAAGGTCGTGGATGCACACTGCTGAGGAATCCCACAATAGGACGAGAGGGCCGTCAAGTGCTTCCAGGTTTTTCATGGTGGTCTAGCTTCAATTGACTCACGCTTTCAATTATAATAATATAATAATAATTGTTATAAATAATAATTATATATATATATATATATATATATATATATATATATATATATATATATATATATATAACTTTACAGCTGTCTGATCTTTACATATGTATGTATATCAGTCAGTCAGCTACAACATAGGACCAGGCACATATATGTATCGGTCCAAGTTGCCAATACCTCGTTAGCACAACAAGATGAACACCGGATTCATAGAAGTAATTAATTTAGTGGTGTTAATGTATGAAAGAAAGATTGTATATAAGGATATAGTATAGGAAGGAAGACAGATATGAAACAATTTTACTCTCAAGGTGGTATAAGGGAAGATAAAGAGTGTATACACCTGCGTCATTGCAATAGATTCTGAGCCATGTCACCTAGAGTCTCCAACCATTGGTAACGATAGTCACGTGGACCCCAACCAGATAGTCTGCATCTACCAACATGGCTCAGACTAGAAGTTAGTGACTTTATGGACTGATGCCATGTTTTGGTTTTGCCGCCCCTAACTCTCTTCCAACCATCCCCAATACTAGTGAGCATTGCGCGTCATGGTAATCGGTGTTCAGGCATACGTAACATGTGGCCTGACCTTTTCAGTCGATGAAGATTCGTGACCTCATCAACTGATTTACCATCATTCCCTAATATCCTGTGTCTAACCTCACTATCACTTACCTGGTGATCCCAGCAGATGCGAGCAATTATCTGTTTGTTAGATAATAATAATAATCCAGATGTTTGTTAAAATTAATTGTGAAGGGTTCAGAAAACGACTTGAAAATCAAGTGCACCAGGTAATAATTATGCATTGGTAATTATTATTAACTGGAAGAATTAAGATATCTAATTGGATGGATTAATATTAGTTTAGGTTTATAATGGCGAGAGGTGTATTTGTTGAGTTTGCATAATCTTCATATAATAAATTATAAACTTATCGTAGTATTATTATAATGAAGTGAGTACAACTGAAAAGTTTCAAATTAGAACAAACTTTGTAGCTGTTTAATGTTTCTTAATTTTTCTTTTGTCTTTCAACTAATTGCATTATGTAGTGAACGTTTTATAGTTTACATTATAAACTAATGCCAGAGTAGTAGAAGTAATTATACCATCAATGATAGTAGAAAACATCAAGCATAGACAATGTGATTCGAAGAACGAATGAATTCGTAGAATAAAAAGTATTTTAAGATAAAGAATGAATACATCTATGTCACTGAGAATAACTGTTCCTGGACCATCGGTTAAGAGAATCGTATGGACCTTAACTAGCCTAGTCTGAACCAACCTATATGGTTCAGTCCAACAGTCATTGACTTCATTTATTAGTTTGACTAGGTTTCTTTCAATCTACTCATACACCAACGGATATTATGTGTAGATAAGTATGTACTACATTGCCATAGTATGACTTTTTTCAATATCAAAAATACAGTTTTCTATTGTAAAGAAAATATCTTACTTGCTCCCTATCCACTATCAACTTTATAAGTTTTGTGTTGGATATAATAGATACATACCATTGGAAACTAGAAGCTAGTAGACGATTACTTCATCTTAGTCTATGAATTCTCATCAATGCGCACCCACAACCACATCAAGAATTGAACCTTGACTTTTGATCGTCACTAATGACTTGCTTTGTAAAAAACATTTGTTTTAGAAGTTGTGACCACTGTACTTCAAGCTTTTTAGGAATGAGACAGTAGTTACCTACAGCATTGGATGACCGTTGTTCTATATCATGGATTGATTAAAGTTGAAGATGTTGACCGTCTGGTTTCCACTCAATTATCTAATAGTTAAGTATTACTGTGAGGCCTGGATCCCCACCATGTTGAGGTTGTGTATGCACACTGATGAAGAGTCTCATACTAGTACAAAAAATGTCCAACTCCCCCTAGTCTCTAGTTGTAAAGCAACTGATTCTGTGACAAATACCACCTTCAAATCAAGCTGGTCTACACAAAATCTAATCTGCAATGGTATATTATGCTCATTAGTGATCTTAAGATAAGTGCTGACATGAACATCTATTCTGGGATGGATTTGAATTCGACCGATGGGTCACAAATAAGAAGATACTCGCGTCCTGGATCGCATTACTATCCATATTCCATATACTCTATGTATACTTGTGTCATAATGTCTTTATCGAGGTAATTCAGACAGGATACACATATGCCAAACAAGACCGATCAAATTTCAGTCAAAATGTCAACAATGGGATAATCTGAACCATTTGCAACAAAATTATGCTGTTTTTTTCAGTTGCCTCTTCATTATTATCATATCTCTAAATTAACTATAGAGGTCAGGCGTTTGTGCGCGAGTCCGAAATTCTTGTGTTCGATTCTGGCGTGCAGGATCTCGGATGTGCGCTACTAAGGAGTCTCATACTAGAACGAAATGGCTGTCCAGTTCTTCCGGGTTTTTAAAGGTGGTCTAATTCAGATCAATTTATGATTTTGGTGAAATTTAGCAATCGATAAATCTTAAGGTAGAATTAGAAATCGATATTTAGTCAAATGTTTACTAGGCAACTAACAATGTATGTGCTTGAATTTTGTGTTAATGGTGAAGAATAATAATGATAGTTAATGGATAAATACTTAGTCCAATCAATTATTTAGTAAAACCGATTATGTAAAAAAGAAAATTATATAACCGTAGTTTTCAAGTGATCATTGGATTAGGGAAATAACTAAAGTAAAGAGAATAGTTGATTTCTATGAATCGCTATGACTTTCCTCATATTTAAATCGTAAACTCTTAGACTGCAATAGAAAAGATTTGGTGCAATTTGATCATTGGGCATGCCAATCATTAACTTGGCATTGAAAGATAGTTGTGTAACATCGTAAATCAGTTGAAGTTAAACATGTAAATCACTGGATGCCATCTCAGTGATTGAAAAGGGTTGGATGTTCATTGCAAAACCTGATTGTGAATATGGACTGCTGAGGAGTTCTATACTAGGACGAAACTATTGTTTAATGATTTCTGACTTTCAATGGTTATCTAACTAAGATCAGTTTTCAATGAAAGTCACTTAATTCTAACAATCTCCACAAATAGTCTATAAGACTGACTGTTATCAGTTGATATTGTTTAATCCGTTAGGCATAATATATAATATACATATCTTATGTAAATGATTGTTTATATAAGGACATTGTGTCTATCAAAGATAACTTATGATTGACAAAACTTATTTCCATATCCATTAAATCATAGTGATTTGTACACAACAAAAAAAAGAGTCAATAAACATTATGGATAAGGTTTTTCATTAGCTAATGATATAGTTATTGGTAATCTTCATTCTATAGAACCACTTCCATTCATGGTTTACACATATACATATTAATCTTAAATGTAAATCCTGTCATTCTTATCCATAACTCTTGACTAATGTGTACCGACTTTCTCACTTAAGTTGGCTCAATGAAATCTTATCAATGAAGGATGGAAATCTTTATTTTGAAACAACGAAAACAAGCGATTTAGAGTCCATTATATATCTTTGCTTCATTGGTTTTTGTGAGGATGGTTCACAAGTGAAGTCGAGGAAGCTCTAAAAAGCCCAGAAGGAGCCCGACATATTCCATCCAATCAGCTTCGGGAAGAATATTCTAGAATTGCTACGTGAAGCTTCCCTATTGGACAATGCTGATAACTCCGTCTGTGCGGATTGAACAACTATAATGATGATTTTGTTTCTACTAAAAACTATAAATACCTGACAATTTTGTACCATAATCTACACTGTTTGGAATAACATTCCTTCTACTTGTCTTCTGTCTTCTGATTTGTGACTTGGGAGAATCCTAGCGTTCAATTGCTCAAGTATCGTGCGATAGACTAAAAAAAAATCTAAGTTCGAGATACAACAGTTTTATTCTTTAATGAGTATATATGCCTTCTAAGATTTCTTATATTCTACAAAGTAAATAGTTCATCTTGTATTGGTTGTTTGAATCTTCCTATTGATGTTTAGGACTGTAGTTGATCAGTTTCTTACTGGCATATGTGGATTCTGTGAGGATTGCCTCAAGTCACAAGCACTGTATGCAGAAATAAATGGTGACCAGCAGTGGAATTGATGACTCACGTTTCATCCTCTTTGTAGCTTGTCAGCTAAATGTACCTGGATCCCAGATTTTACGTTCACTCTTGTACTTGGACACAGTACCTTTCTCTTCAAACGCCTTTGTGTTATCCACTTAGCTCCTGAGTCCAGATAGCCACATCAACTGTCACAAAAAGTATGAAACACGAGTCCTTGATTCCACTGCTAGTTACCATCCATCTCGGCTTACAAAGTAAATACTTGTTTTTATCGATCTATCAATCAGTTATCATAATTGGAACTGATTCTTAAATTTATTATTGTATTATTTATAATTGTATACATTTTAGATCTTCGAGAAGCTTTCATTCTATTTGATGTAAATCGTGATGGTCGAATAACTGAAACTGAATTAGAATCTGTTCTTGGATTTCTTGGTGTAAAAACAACACGAGATGAAGTACGTCGAATGATTCAAGATGCTGATTGTGATGGTAAGTGATTGATTATTATCATTATTTGAAATAATTACAGAATTTTATTTAAATTACTTATATCAACATTTCTGTTTAATAATTAGTTTTATATAGTTGATATCATAAGTCAATTGATGCTGGACCACCATGGAAAACCTCGAAGCACTGGGCGGCCGTTTCGTTCTATCATGCGACTCCTCATCAGTGCGCATCCATGATCATGCCTTACGAGATTCGAACCCAGGACCTACTAGTCTCGCTTACAGGTTTTCCATGGTGGTCTAGCTTCAATTGACTCATTATCTCAACTATATAAAATTACTAAAATCTCCACAAAATCGTTTGCTATGGCGAAGGTTCATCCACTCTTTGTGTTCTACCAAATTCTAATCTTCTGAATTCTTCATGTCCATTTCTTTTTTCTTTTTTCAAATTTATTTCACTGAATGATACTCCTTCAATAACATCTTCAAACCCTAATCTTTTCAGGTACTGCTTAAACTCTTACTACTTCTACCATTATGGGATCTGAATCGACAACTTCATCTCTATGCTAATGCTGTGGTTTGACAACTTGAACTGATGTCCGTACGTACAAAGTTCCACATTGTGACTGACTGACTGACTGACCGATATTCAATAATGAATTTTTTTAAAGTTTACAAGTATAGGAAACTTTTATTCAATTGTGAATATTAGCATATGTGATGATTAATTATGTCAATCTTCTTATATATAGATATTATCTCTAATTACAGTAATTGAATAATTATTGTTGCTTAGATTTAAAAAAACATATGTTAATGTGACATTTTAGATGGATTAGATGTTTATCAACTGTTTAGCATTCAGAAATTCTTACTACTATTATGGTTTATGCTACTTATGTAGACAGATATAAGTAGTATATGACACCAATTAGAAGTAGAATGTCTGATAGTTGAAAATTATTAAAATCAAATTGAAGAGAATAAGAATTTTAACAGAGTGAAATTGTAATGACAACAGAATTGAAAGAATCATGAAGGACAATTGAAGGATGATGTGGAAATATTGTATTGAATGTATAGTTTTCATACTTTACTATGGTACTTTATACTTTTGCATTGAACAATAAATTTGTCCTCTCCATCTTAATATTCATTCACTATAATTTCATTTATTATTTCAATCATAATTATTGCAACTGAGTTATTCAGATAACAAATGAACTCCCTTAATACTGTATTATTAATAAGTGTACAAACGATTCTAGGTGACATGGCTCAGAATCGATCACAAGTGCGTAGGTGTATACACTCTTTATCTTCCCTTAAACCTTGAGATTCAAATTGCTTCATAACTTTCTTCCTTCCTATACTATATCTTTATATACAACCCATCTTTTATATATTACCACCACTAAATTAACTACTTCTATGAATCCGGTGTTCATCTTGTTGTGCTAACGAGGTATTGGCAACTTGGACCGATGCATATATGTGCCTGGTCCTATGTTGTAGCTGACTGACTGACTGAACATTATATACTGTTGATTATTACCCAATTTTGGTCAGTAGCATATCTATAGATTTTGATTCATTATCAATGGATAAGTACATTACGTTGAATCTATTTATTCGTCACAAATATCTTATTCTTTCAAAAATCTAACTCGTTTTGAAGATAATCGTTTGATATTTGGGCCTTATTTAACCGTCAATCCTGATAAACAATACTACTGTAGTATATAACTAGTCTCTCATATAAATAATTAGATCTTAAGAGTTGCAATTCCAGGTTGATATGCATAAAAAAATGTTTATATGTACGTGCACGCACCCACCCACCCCCATGCACACACACATACACTTACCTAGACCGTTATCTTTCATATCATTCTTATCAACAGAAACACATGATCAATAATTCTCATGGAGAATACATCATTTTCGAATGTTTGTATGTTTACTTTTCCTTTCTTCTATGATAATTTACCTTTCAAAGTACATACATATATATATGTTCGTTTGGGACGGAGAAGGAGAAGGGAATACACACCATTTCCCTTATCATTTCTATCTTACTTCTCTTTTCTTCATCATTTTTATCTACTATCCTCTTTTTTTCGCCACATTCATAGAACAAATAAATGAAAGAAAAAAATGTTTCAAAATAACCTATTCAAGTGAATTTATTCCATTCATTTTAATCTTCTTTAGCTTATCTGTACGTCTTTTTTTAATTTTTCTATTCTGAATTCACCTCTTTGATGAGATCATTCGTTGTTGAATCATTTAAGCTTGATATCTATTTTTAAATGTGCGGCATACTTTTTTGGGGCTTAGGATAAGGATTATTGTAGAGCATTGTATCCTCTGTGAGAGGTGGTTAGTTTAATAGTTATCAAGCTTAGACATCATTGTCCTTCTAGACAATATTATCATCAAAGAGAAATAAGCTATTAGAATATTTTTCCATTATAATTGACCAATAGCTTGTTGTTCTGTTGACCTGGAATTCCATTGGTCGTTGTCCAGAATTGTATGAATGTTGCTTGCATGTTTTATTTTTTTTAATTTTCACCTCTGACCTTATATTTATTTATTTGATAGAATGTGTCAATTCCGATGTACTTACTGACTGTTAAGAGACTTGAGTTCCATTCTTCCATAAAAACTACCAGCTTGTTGAACATAACGTCTCTCCCGACATAACCTCGGAGTTGTTTACCCTTAAAGCAAAGGAATTCAGAGATTATTCAGAAATCTGGTACCTTAGTCAACTAGTAACCAATAGAGATACTGAAGTCGACAAAATCTACCAGCCAATATGTAAAAAGGTTGGCAATTTCTAGTTTAGAGACCAGGTCGAAAGTGAAAATAAACATGCAAACATGGGCCACACAATTATAGACAACAACCAAACATATTCCAGGTTAATAGGACAAGCTGTTAGTCAATTATAATGGAGAAATATTCTAACGACTGACTCCTTTTTGCATTACGTGCTGATGATGTAATCCAAAAAGTCAATTATATACAGTATATCTGTTAAACCATCCAGCTCACAGAAAACATATCACCTTCAACAGTTTGTTTTTCTTTTGGTTTCATCATTAGAGGTTAGACGCAGGGTATTAGGGAATGATGGTAAATGAGTTGATGAGGTCACGAATCTTCATCGACTGAGATGGTTGGGTCACGTATTACGTATGCCTGAACACCGATTACCACGACGCGTAATGTTGACTAGTATTGGGGATGGTTGGAAGAGAGTTAGGGGCAGCCAAACCAAAACATGGCATCAGTGTTTGAAGTCACCAACTTCTAGTCTGAGTCATGTTGGTACATGCAGACTATCTGGTTGGGGTCCACGTGACTATCGTAACCAATGGTTGGAGACTCTGTGTGACATGGCTCAGAATATATCACAATTGTGTAGGTGTATACACTCTTTATCTTCCCTTAAACCACCTTGAGAGTAAAATTGCTTCATATCTGTCTTCCTTCCTATACTATATCCTTATATACAACCTTTCTTTATACACTACCACCACTAACTTAATTACTTCTATGAATCCGGTGTTCATCTTGTTGTGCTAACAAGGTATGGTAACTTGGACCGATACATATATGTGCTTGGTCCTACGTTGTCGCTGACCGAGTGACTTGGTTTCATCATTGCTTTTTCGTTTTGAGTAGGTGTTTTCTTTTTCTCTAAGTATTTATTATTTTGGAGTCGACATTCTTCATCCGTTCATTCATTAGTTGGATGAAATCATGAATGATCTGGATGATAAATGATTGAGTAGAATTCTATTGGTTACAGTTGTTCACATCTCTTCCCATCAAAATGACTCATCATTACTTAAAATTAACTACAGTAATTCCGATACAATTATTGAATATTTTAATAAACGTGGATCGTTTCACTGAATAAAAGTACTTTCTATAGCTTAGTCTTTACTCTCCATACAGTTTTAAGTCTGTAAATATTGTTACGGTATACAATAAATTGGGAATGAATAATGTGTAAGGCGAAAACCCAAAAAACTTTGAAATTTGATAAAGAGTTTGTGTTGGCCCTGAAAATAAGAGTTACGCTTAGAAAACAACGTTAGGGAATGATAATTAGGAGTCGGGTTAACGAATACATTAGTATCAGAAGGGGTTTTGTGGAGATTTAGTATTTTCATAGTTGAAAGCATGAATCAAGGGAAGCTAGACCACCAAGGAAAATCTGGAAGCACTGGACGGCCGTTTCGCTCACCGGATACTGGCTCAGTGATCTATCGGTTAAATGCTCTGGCGCGACACTGATAGGTCCTGGGTTCGAATCTCGCCAGGCGAGATCTTGGATGCGCACTGCTGAGGACTCCTATAATAGGATGAAACGGCCATTCATTGCTTCCAGGTTTTCCTTGGTTGATCTAGCCTCAATTGATTCATGCTTTCAACTATGAGGATACTTTATTGTCTCACATGAGGTATCACGTATTCAGTTAGTTCTTTGACTTCAAATATCAAGATCCTGTATGTTACTCTCACAAATTTACAAATTGCATTCTCTATTCTTTAGTTTTTTCATATTTATAAATTTTAAGCATTTTAATAATGAAACATTGACTTATCTATTATTAAGATAAAGGTTATTCACCACCGTTTAATTTCTTACTAAAATCAGATATACTCTATTTTAGCTTTGATCGATTTGTCAGTATAGTATAATTTGACCTAAAGATCACATATGAAGAGACAAGATCAAACCATACCTTATGATGATCAATTCTAATGAATAGACTGCTAGCCACTATCCATCTTTGCTTATAATGCTTGTGAATTAAGGCAATATCGAGGCAATACGCACAGTATGCACATATGCCAATAAGAGACTGACGAGTTGTACTCCTAAGCATCAATGGAAAGATTCAAACAAACAATACTAAGTGAATAGACTAAGATTGTTTCAAAAATAATGCAATATAGTAGAGATGTTATGCCGTGATTATTATTATTATTACAGTAATGAATATCGTG